ACCAGAGAAAAAGTGAAAGAGAGGGTTGGACATGGAAATGAGAACAAGCGGGTGTGTTGTTGTGTCTCTAACTTCTGAAGTTTTGTTGATCTGGGTGGAAATCTGGATTGCTTAATAATGCCACAGCGACATAGTTAGAATAGGTGAGGCCTCCAGCATAAACACATTCCTTGAAAGAGGACATTTTTCTCCATGGCTTACATCATGGAGGCATTTTCTGCAAAACAAGTTCAGGCAATTACGGTTTAGACTTATACTCATTTTAGTCTGAGTCTGATTTGCGGTTAGATGATCAGGACTTTTCAATTTCTGAAGTTTATTTTCAGATATTAGGAAGTGAGTGTTTGAGCTCATTAGCCCCTTAAGAAATCTTAAAAAAAATCTAAACTAACCAGCTGCTCTAAACATCAGTTAAACGTCTCTTTCTGAACATAATTTCTTACATGTTTATACCTGCCGACTGGCATGTAATTCCTAAAAGCTGTGAAACACTGACATCAAACTCACAGTAAAGGAATTTTGGCACATCTGGATCACCTGCAAGGATTTTATCTGTTTTCCATCTGTACCATCTTTAGCTGTGATAATTTTAATTATTAATCAAAACAATAAGACAGTGAGTCCTTCATAAAATAATTGTATTTGAAGCTCTTTTTGGGGTTTTTTTTATGTTTATTTTTACTTTAACCAGGAAGTCCCGTAAATTAAGATCTCTTTTACCAATAGAAACCTGGCTTTAAAAGTTCACCATTATAAGGTTTGTTTAAAAAAAAATCTAAATTATAACATAAAGAGACATCGGACAGAAACAATAAATCCATCCAAACAAGGCAAATAATACAAAGTCCAGCTCAAGACCAGCAACAGGTTTAACAGGCTAAATTTGTTTGGTGGTTGTGAAACTCCTGAGGTGGAGTACACTGGCTGTAATCTGCTGTGTACTGAGTTGTGGGATGTGGTTTTGATGCAGACGTACTTTCTGAGCCTCGGGTGTAGAGCTGCTTCATGGTGTCATACATGCCGATGCGGATTGAGGCGAAGCTCATCTGCCTATGCAGTCCTGCCACCAGGCCGCTGTACAGACTCCTTGGCCCCTCTGTCTTCACCATGGTGAAGATGGTGCCAAACACACCTCGGTATTCCGCCCTCTGGCCTTTCACTAAGGGCTTGGATTCACCTTGCACCTGAAGAAACATAATAACAGGTTCAAGGTGTGCCATTAGCCTCACTGCCTCACTTAGAGAGAAAAGGTCCACATATGTCTGTGATCAGGCTGCTTTCTTAATTGTTAGGTTACATTTGTGTAACATGCACCCGTGTTGAGATATTTCTGAGCATATGCTTGAACTAGGGAGTTAGACAACATGAAAAGCAGTTTATCTTCTAGTCAGCCAAAACACAGGTAACCTTGTATTGGCTGACAATAATCTATATCTATAGTATCCGAAAAATGCTTATGTGGTACCATTATGAATAAATGTTATTTTTATGCTCTTAGACAGATATGGCAACTTCAATGATTATGGGAAAACTGACACTCACTGGCAAATTTGTTAGTTACGCCTGTAAAAAAACAAAAAAAACAAAAAACACATTGTTTTTAACAGGCGTTAACAGCCTGTTTCAAATAACTCCCAAGCATTTCAAAAAGATTTCAGTCTGGGGTTTGATAACGCCAGTTCCTACTTTGATAAGGCCATTTTGGGTGGTTATAGCTCAGGTGCTAGAGCAGGTCATCTGCTAATCAGAAGATTGGTGGTTCCATCCCTGGCTGCTTTAGTCTACATGCCAAATATCCTTGAGCAAGATACTAACCCCAAGTTGCTCTCCAATGCATCCATCGGAGTATGAATGTGTGTGAATTGTAGATAGAAAAAGCATAGCAAATATTGCTTGCTTGAATGGGTGAATGAGGTTGTGTAAAGCATTTTAGGTGCTCAGAGTAAAAAAGCACTATATAAGAACCAGTCAGTTTACCATTTAGGAGCAGGACAAGGATACAAAACACTAGTGTGTTTGTTGCATAACTCAGGTGTTTTTGGGTTTGAAGGGACAAACTTATTGCTGGACATTCTCCTTCAGGATGTTCTGGTAGAGAGCAGAATTCATGGTTTCATTAACTGCAGCAAGTCGCTCAGAAGCATCAAAGCAGCTCGAGACCATCACATTCCCATCACCTCTATACCTCTGACCCTAGCTGAAGTGAGGCCTGCAGTTCTTCAGATGTTGTTCTGGGTTCTATTCTATGGTTCACTGGAGTCCCAAAGCCTTAGAAATTACTTTGTAACCCTTTGCAGACTGATAGCTTTCAGTGACTTTTTGCTTTACATGTTTTGTTTTGTTTTTTTGTTTCTTTGAGTTGTGTCATATTTTAGCCTACTTCACTTTTTAGACTGGCAGTAATCACACCTGGGTGTGCCTAGTGAAATTGAACTTTGCTTTCTTAAAAATGTGAGTGGTCACAGTAAATTTTGCATTTTCACATAAGGCAAGGTAGGTTTGGATATCTTGTGTAAAATGTGGAAGTAAATTTAAAGGTAATTTGATATACAAAGAGGTGTTTACAAGGGTTATAGAGCTAGTTATGTAGCTATTTGGTGGTTACGTGTTTTGGTATTTACATGTTTACACATTTGAATGTTTACACATGCATGTTCAAAGCAGTAATAAGTATGTGTTATATCTACCTAGTTGTTTTTTTCTGCATTGATCTGAGTATAACATTTCCTGGCTTCTCGAGCCCAGTGAAGTATTCATGACGGCGGCACACAGGAAGTGTTGGTTTTTGTTGTTGCTGTGTGCTGAGAGTAAAGAGGCTGGTAAGACAGTTATCTGTCTCCATCGTGCTGTTCATAATTATTCAGGGAGATTCCATCAAGTAAACCCTCACGTTACACTTGTTTCTTTAATAACTCAAATCATCAGTTAAAAACGGACTTTGGGGTTTCGGTAATTTGGTGATCTGAAACATTTGAGTGTGACAAATATGTTAAAAAAGAAAGAAATCAGGAAACAACACTTACACGATAAGCTGAGCCGGGTCGAGGGGAGCGGGTGTCCCACTGTGCACCAATTTTTCACTTTTTTTTAATATTCTGAATTGTGTTACTTTTTGTTATAAAGTATAAAGCTCTTAATTAGCGAGAATATTTTGAGGTGGCTATAGTTGCAAATACCATGAGGCGGGTGGGGCTTCCTGATGCCTCACCTGCAGCCGGACTTTGGCGGTGTCCAGTGGGAAGGTGACCAGGTCCGCCACGCAGCCTGCTGTTCCAGCTGAGAAGATTTTAACAGCAGTTGTGGGCGCTAAATCAGCCGCTCTCCCTCCAACCATGATCAGTGCCTGAGCTCAACAGCAAGCCTCACCAACAACAAAACTTAAATAACAAAGTGCGCATTGAAGGACTAATCATCGTTTCATCCTTCGTGTACGGAAACGAATAAAAGCGATGTAGGTCAAGCTCCATGCAAAAGAAAGTTTGGAGTTTGAAGGGAACAGCGTCGTTGTGCCATTACACAGAAACGCTCACGACAAGAAGTCGAAAGCAAACTGAACAAAGTCGGTATCTTTGCATGTCAACAAACACCTGACTGCGCAGCCGACGAGTGAAGCCTGGCCCACATTTACTGACTTTGAACGGACCTGCCGCACCGCCCTGCCTGAACTCCAGATACTCATCACACACATGCGCGGAATACCCCGGATTGTTCTTTATCGGTGTTCTCCGTCATGATCCACCTGCTTTCAAATACAAAACAGTTTCAGTGTCAGCGGACAAGAGCTGAGGCGTCACCAGGAAAGTTTTATGTATCTTAGTACGGATAATGTCCTCCCATTCTTATGGGAAATAATCCTGCTTTTGGTGTTTTTATGATGGCAATGGCGACCACCAACTCACAGGAGTTCACGTGGGTGTATATCTGATAACTGTGAAGGCCATGGGAAATAATATGAAATAATAGTATTTTATTATAGAAATTGCACTTTCTCTTGATTGGCGGTGACATTTTCCTCTAAGAGGGACAAGAAGACTCAAACCATGGCAAAAAAAAATGCCCCCCAAAGTATAACAGAGCCTCACAACATCCTCAGTACAGGAGTAAACGGTTCAGGATTAACTTTAACTGAGTTATGTTACATCCCCAAAACTACCCTGCAGTGTCATTTGGGTGTTGCATCATGGATATGTGGTTGTTTTTAGATCGATTCAGGTTTCATGTTTCTGCTATCATACATCTTTAGGATGATGTATTTAAACCCTCTATTTACAGGAATTGTAGGTGTGTTAATATTTCAGTAAAAGGTTTAAAGTCTGGAGATCACACCTCCCCACTCTTCCATATTTGTTTATCTTTTATATAGTTGTTGTTATTATCAACAAAACCACAGTTCTGTTTTTTCCCTTCTGATAACGCTCAAATGTTCAACTTTACCTGCCACCACATATTCCAGAAATATTCCCAGTTATCCTAACTTATTATGGGTCTCATTTTTGCATGTTTTTTTTAAATTTGATGCCAATTATGTGTATCACATTTCTCATATAAATACCCACACATATGTACAGGTGCCCTTCTGTTATGTCAGCTACTATAATGAGGTGAAGAGGTGATGTGGACTAGCAATGGCATTTTTAAACTGAACTTCAATGTTTTATTTCTTTACAAATCAACATGATGGGAAACCCAAAAACATGAAATTAACATACACAGCTGTCTTATTCAGGAGAGAACCTGAAACAGTTACATCACCAAAACTTGTGGCCACCAGCCGTGCAGACATTCAGCTTCAATAAAACATTTAAAAAACAACAACAACAACAACAAAAAACTTCAGTAGTGAAAATGGTTAATATTTATTTATAAAAATACAACATGTTACATTTAATATACATGATTATTGTTGCAGGCTGAAACCAAACGTCTCTAATTAGTCTCATCAAAGTGAGCTGCAAAAATTTTTGCTATTCTCTCCGTCTCTTTCTTCATGGATGACGGTGACATGTTGGGACGCTGCCGAGGGCCTCTGGGAGGTGGGGCGCTGTGAACCGATGAGTTCTGGTCCTGAAAACAAAGCGTTAAAGTTAAAAAAACAAAAAAACACAAGTTCTGAACTGCAAGTACACAGTGTACCAAGACAGCTTAGTTGCAGGCGAGGCTGAAGACAAACAAGTTAATTAATCTGAAACTTTTTTTGTGATTACATGACTCACAATTCACACACAGCAAACCTTTGTTTGGTTAACCTTCATGTTGTGAGACTGTCAGCTACATGTATCAGCAACAAATGGCATGCCTGAACTAGTTTTTTGAAAGGTCTCGTCATCATGCAGGCAGGAGAGGTGGTGCCAACAGTCACACCACCTGTCCAAATAAGTTCTAACTCTCAACTTCTCTGTTTTATTGCGCTCTTCAAAAAGTTGTAAAATTAATAAACAGGAGTGACAATCATCTCCATTGATTCTTTTTTTTTTTTTTTTGCATGTGACAGCATCTTATTGTATTGTATTGCAGTATTATATTGTGTTGTATATAAGACTTTTATTTTATTTTTATCTTTATATTGTTTTAGTGTACACTGAGGGCCGTGGGACCGTTTCAATTTCAAATTCCTGTGTATGGAATGTACATATGGTTTTTAACAATAAAGCTGTATTTGATTTATAATTTTTGTTTGTTTTAAATTGCATTAAAATGATCAATTACATTAGAAGAGAGATCCATCAGTGGAAGTCAACCTGTTAGTGCTGCAGAACTGAGTGTTAAATTACACCGAATGTCAGTCTGGCGTCACGCACATCACAAATCATGTGAAAGATTATTCATAACATTGTGTTTACAGAAGGTTGGGCAAGTATATTTGCAAAACCATTAAATTATGCAAACATGAATAGATACATCAAAGGTAAAGGTTAATGTCTAACACCAATGTAAAAGTAACAGGAGTGGAGAGAGTGAACATATAAGCAGGCGTGACGGCCAAAAGCACTGCCCGTGGACAAACACTCACCAGGTTGCTGGATGCCTGGGAGAACGTGGGTGCTAAACGTATAGCTCTCATCGACGCCTCCAGTTGGTGGGAGGGGAGGAAGAAGTTTAGAACCTCTGCAGGAACAGAGCTTAATGGATAAAGTTAAAGAAAACACATTCTCAGTGTGTTTTGAGGCAGTTACAACTGAAGAGGAGGGGAACTGTGTTTAAACACTCCCCAAAAACATGAAAGTAAATGTTCAGAAAAACAAAACAAAACAAATATCTGTTTGACCTCCACGGGAAAACTATATTAAGTTTTCCCACATCTGTAACCGGAAGGTCGCCAGTTCGATCCCCGGGCTCTCTGTCCTGGTCGTTGTCTCCTTGGGCAAGACACTTCGCCTACCGCCTACTGGTGTTGGCCAGAAGGGCCGATGGTGCAATATGGCAGCCTCGCTTCTGTCAGTCTGCCCCAGGGCAGCTGTGGCTACAACTGTAGCTGCCTCCACCAGTGTGTGAATGTGAGAGTGAATGAATAGTGGCATTGTAAAGCGCTTTGGGTGCCTTGAAAAGTGGTATATGAATCCAATCCATTATTATTATTCATTATTACACAGACTGTGAGCAACCACATGGGATTTAGTGTGTGTGAGTTTATGTTCAGCCTGCTCAGCAGGAACGTTTTCGCACTTCCACCTGTCAGTCTCCTTATGTCTAGATTGTTGAGATGAATGTTGAAATTAAACCCTAAAGACGCCACACAAGATGAAGCATTTACACACCTAAAACAAGTTTTATAATGAATCACTGATTTGAACTGGCTCAGAAAAGCAAAAACCAACAGCATAACCTAACGGCCACAAATGAATCACGAAACACATTTAAGGATACCGTTGGAGGTGTGGCTCGTCTGAGGAGGCGGAAACACTGTGGGTGTCTGTGGTGTGCTGTTTGGCTGGTGATGAATCTGTGTCATGTGACCTCTTGTTAGGGCTATTTAGTTCTTGTTGTTGTCTTTCATCTCTAGCATGTTGCAACGTTTCATCACCTCTCTCCAGATCTGAGGCATCTCCTGTGGAACCATTTAAGCTGCAGTGGTCTTCACTTTCCTCTTCCCTGTGCTTCCCACTGGGGTGACCCGATTCCATATCTACCAACAGTTTCTTCTTGCCCTCATCTTCACTTAGGTCCAGGTGCTCTGGTCCCTCCAGGCTCTCCAGAGAGGCCAATTCAGGATCTGACAAGATGCTGGTCCAGGGACTGGTTTTGTCTGTTAATGAGGTCATCTCATTTAAAGGCCTCAGCTTCACTACAACCTCCTCATAATCCTCATCTGTCTGCTCATCCACATCATCGTCCTCTTCCTCTCTGCAACCAGTTTCTTCTTCATCACTCTCAGTCATATTAGCCTCGCCACTTCGTCTGTCCTTTTCTTCCTCAGGCTCAGAGTCTGTGAGGTCCTCAGACACTTCTGCTGGTGTAAATGGCAGAGGAGACGTGACTTCTGGGGAACAATGTGAAACTCTGTGAGGACTGGGCGATCTCTCAGTGATGGCTTGTGTATTGCTGTCTCCAACAGGTGACACTGTTGAGCTACTCTGTGGGTTTGAAGGAATTGTTTCCAAGCGGTGTCGTTGTAGACCTGTGTAAAGAGACAGACAAAGTTTGAAGGGTTTGAGAAATGCACATGCATGCAACATGTGTCTAAACCCAGAGCTGAATCTTTTTAGTTTTGTCTGGCTCACACAGAAGAAGTTAATAACATTAATGTAATTTGCATATAAAATAAATATAATGGGATATTTGAAAAACTGTACAATGAGCTCATTTAAATAACAAGCAGCAGGAGACTGTCAGTCTGCCCCAGGGCAGCTGTGGCTACAACTGTAGCTTGCCTCCACCAGTGTGTGAATGTGAGAGTGAATGAATAGTGGCATTGTAAAGCGCTTTGAGGGCCCCGAAAAGTGCTATATAAATGCAATCCATTATTATTATTATTATAATAAATGGACTGGTTCTTATATAGGGCTTTTCTATTCTGAGTACTCAAAGCACTTTACACAACTCGTTCATTCACCCAATCACTTTTCTCTTTTCTTAAGTTTTTTAGTTCTGTCTAACATTCATACACACATTCACACTCCGATGGATGCATTGGAGAGCAACCTGGGGTTAGTATCTTGCCCAAGGATATTTGGCATGCAGACTGGAGCAGACTAGGATCGAACCACCAACCTTCTGGTTAGGAGGTGACCTGCTCTACCAACTCTGCCAACTATGCAAAAAAAAGCAAAACAAGAGAAATTAATAAAAAGCAGATTTAAAAAGATTTGTTTTTAACTGGCTTTTAAAAGAGTCCACCAATCTTACGTCTTGAGTCTGTGGGCCACTAAACAGAAGGATCTGTCTCCTTTTCTTTTCAGCTTAGTATTGGGCACCATCAGCAGGCCCTGGTCACAGAACCTCAGGGGCCTGCCATAGACATATGTTAGTAGAAGCCCTCCGGTATAACCTGGTGTCTGTCTGTGAAAAGCTCTCCAAGTTTGCCAAAGAACCAAGAGGTCCAAGTGTCTCCTTTATCCCAGACATGCATTTTTCTAATTATTTCATTTTTCTCTTGATTTAGCTGAAGAGAGCCTGCCATCCACTGTTTAACAGTGTCCAGGCACTTCAATAAACTGCAAAGTTTAGACATTTCATTTGGGCGAAACGAGGTGTAGAACCAATTATCATCTGCAGAGCAGAGATAAGAGATGCCCTTAAAGGTTGACAGAATGTGCCCAAGGGGGAGCAAATACAATAAAAACAGCAGAGGCCCCAAAACAGAAACCTTGAGGTACACCAAAATGAACTGGATAAGGGGGAGATCTGTGCTTCGAAGTAGCTGCAGAAAATAATCTGTCAGACAGGTATGAAGAGAATCACTCCAACCAGATACTGATAGACCAACCTAGCACTTCAGCCTATTAAGCAGAATGAAACGTTCAGCTGTATCAAAAACTGAGGTAAGGTCCAACCTGAGCAGCAGAGAAGTTTCCCTTGTTGTGATACTCTCAGAAGAGCCGTTTCAATTCAATGAAATCTTCAAAAACCTGATTGAAAGTGGTCAAGAATGCTGTGCTGATCCAGCGCAGCAGTTAACTGGTTGACCACAACGTCCTCTAGGATCTTAGCAGTAAATGGATGAACTCACCACTGATGATGTTGTGGACTTCTCCGACTAACTGGTTTGACTTTAGTAGAAGCTGAGATGAGATGTACTCCGAGTCCCTCCGTTTCTCATGTTTATTGTGACTTTCCTGCTCTGGCATAGGTGGGAATGTAGGAGTTGAAAGTTTGCGGCTGAAATATTTCTGAATGTTGTCAAGCTCGCTCAGTTTTTTCCTGTAAAAAAGAAACAAAGCTCAGGCTCTGCATCAGTCATAGAAATGGTTAAACAATGCAGTGTCCATAAACTGGTACCTGAGTGCCAGGATAGAGCTGGAAGGATTGATGTCACCTGCACTACTGCTGTGAAAGGACTGAGACGCTGTTTGCTCATGCAGACTTTGATGGTACAGCCGTACATTGTCCATGTGCTCAGAATGACGGTCACTCTCACTGGACCTGCAGCAGTCATTACAATAACAGATAAATACAGTTGCAGACTTTATATTGTAGCATGTGGCAATGAATAAAACTGTGCAAATGAAGGACCGGTTCTGCAAAGCACCAGTTCTGTGCCAATACCAATGTTTAAAATAATCTGATAGCAGATGCTTGTGTTCTTTTGTTTTGTTGACATTTTGTGACAGGAAAACAAATTAATCCCCATTGCACAAACACAGTATTATACACAGTACTTACGCCACACTCATTTATTTATATTTTGTTTCCAAAGGGTTCAGGCTTGTAATTTTTTGAAGTGGTCTTGTGCAATAGTTCTCCAGGCTTTCTGAAGGTTTTTGGAGGACATTGGCACTCATTTTCAGTCCATATCATTTTCAGAGAAAGGTGTTTTTTTATTTTTATTTGTCCAGCCACTTAACACTGACCTATGAATTTTTTCCTTCTTTTTGCTGCCATCTTTAAGGGTCACCAAAATGGATCATCTTCCTCTGCTATGCTTAAGGTATTCTTAATGCCAAATTACACAAGAAGTGGAAACTAAACTAAACTGTGTCACCAATGTTAAAACTGTTTTTTTTGCCTAAATGCTTAATTGTTTGTTTCCAGATTTCAACAAATCGCTGCACATATTTCTGATTTTCATGACAAAATACAAAGAAATGAGGGGAGGCTTAAGGCTTACTTACTTACTGTAGATATACAAAAACCTGCCCTAACGTTTTTCAGTCCTCAATATGTCTAAACTAAGTGATACACATTTATGAGACTGGATCTCAGGAATAAGGACCACAAAAATGATGAAACACAGCTGATGAACATCTTCCATTGCCTTACTGGCTGCAGATATTCTAACAGATGATCGGCACAACCATGGTGTGAATAAAAACCTTTCAGAGAACAGCCTGTCCGTGTGGTCGGGTGATGAGATCTTCTGCTCAGGGAACCTGCTGATGTGAGAGGGAAAGCTGCTGTATGTGGCTGTAGTCTGGTAGCTGAGAGGAAAGGACTGGAACAAACCCTGCCAGACAAACACCTTCTGGTTTGTTTCAAATTTTGAGAAAGCCATCAAGTGTAAAAAAAATCTGTTCAAGCAGTCTGAGTTCTCTCACCAATGAGTTTTTGGCAGCTTCTTCACTCACAGATAGTCTCTGCCAGCGTAAATCTTGGACCCCCTTCAGTGGAGTGATGGACACTTTAAGCTGGCCGTGACACTGGCCGCCAAAGTCTGTGATGTTGTACCAACCGCACACTGATGGGAAGCCACAGACTAAAGGGGACAGGTCTACAGAGGCAAATCCAATCACCCTGTCCAGCTCTATGGAAGCAAAATGAACCATGAATAAATTAATACATCAAAGACAACACAAACAACAGGGTGAAACAGCTCCTGTACCTCCTTTATGCCAGACTTTAAACACAAGGGATTGTTGTGGATCAACCAGGAGCTGCTTTGATAGCCTGGAAATTTGAAACAAACACATTAGCCTGATGTTTGATCAGTAAGTTATTTAAGTTGAGGTCTGTGAAGTTATTCAACCTGCACTCGTGCTGATGGTCCCACACAGGGGAGTCTGTGTTAGCTATCACAGCCGTGGACACTGGTTCAGCAGAGTCAGCAGTGGCGTATGAAACACAGCAACATGGCATCCCTTCACTGCGTTCTGCGAGGGGACAGCCTGATGGAAAAGACAAACATGTTGTTGTAAGTGAATTGTACGTTTTGTATCGGTTTTGCTTTTTTTTTTTAAGAAAAAAAAAGGCACAAGACATCAGGTCACACCTTTCAGGTTCAGGTGCATGGCCCGATCCACTGTGACTGTCACAGGGAAAGATTCATCTGTACTCTGTTCCGTGTGCTGCACAGATGAGATGTCTGGAGTGGCTCTGGAGGATTTATACTTGTGTTTGCTCTGTGCTGATGATTTTCTGAGTGTAGATGGAGAAAGGACTTGATCTCTTTCTTCCATGTCCTCTGATACCAGTTCTTCCTGACTGTCAGAGTCCACCTGAGTCTCAGCTCCAGCAGGTATTTCTCCTGGATCTGAACCGCCTGTCAAGGTGATGTGTACCCTGAGAGCTGCTCCTTGTAGATCTGCTGCTGAGCGCCTGAACAGAGGGTACACTCCTGTGAAAATACAAAATTTATTACACTCTGAAATATGGAGACGATTTTAATAAAACATTGCTGAGTAGTTATTTCATACCACTTAGCGTCAGCTTCTGCTTGGAAGTCTTTGCAAGCGAGGACAGATCGACGAATGCTGAGCCCACCAGTCGGTCTGTGTCACTGGGCCTTCTGGTTTTATTTTTCTTAAAGGCAACCCACACCTGCACCTCCAGCTTCTCCTCCCGTAGATACCACATTAAAGGCTGCGTACGTCTCAGTTCAACAGTCCTACTTCCTTCAAAACTCACTGTGGCCTGGTCTTCCCCTGCGCCTTCATCAGCAGATGGGTGTTTCAGGTGAGAACAGAAGGCGTCTCGGTCATAGAACTTGTACCTGATGTAGCAGTAGGTGGAGCGCAGCAGCTCACTGTGCCCAGGTAGCAGCAAACAGTGGATGGGTAGCCACACTCTAGGCATGGTAAAGGTCAGCGAGAGTTTTCTCATGCTCTCTTCAAACAGTTCTTCTTCATCCTGCATCATGGAACTGTCAGTCAGGGTATTTTCCCAGCCTAAACCCTGAGCAGCTTTAATGACCCTTTCTCTATCAGAGTGGTGAGCGAAGCTAATGGAAAGCTCTAGGCCTCCGACCAAGATGTGCTGGTGCTGAGAAGAACTTGCTTCACGACTTATATAAACTCCAAACCAGCCAGAAATACCTACACATGTGGAAAAAGAAACACTCTGACAAAGTCTTAACAAAAAATAACTGCTTTAACTATTTTAAGCCCAACATACCTGTCCTTTTGTTGATGAGCTCAGACAGAGGTATTTTCACAGTCCCCAACATTAAATCTTTAGATTTGGAAACGTTCACACCTACAAAAGAAAAAAAAAGGACAAAATAAATATTAGAAACAAATACTGCTAATAAAGTTTTTACACAATAATGTTTCAAAAATTTCAAATACATGTTTTTTTTTTAAAACTTGACATTATGCTGCCAAAAAGCAAAGGTATCCTCTAATGTCCCATCCTGGATCAGCTCTTTTACAGACTTTTCCAACGCACTGATCTCACTGTTAAATGGTGTATAACGAAAAATATTTACAAACTAGGGCTAATATTCATGACGATTCTTAATATCTAGATCAGTCAGTTATTACACAGGTGTATATGATATAATATTAAAAAAAAAAAAAACGATGACAATTTCTTTAAGGCTCCACTGATGGGTAAAGAAAAGATAAATAAAAAGTAAAATAAATGATTAATGGTCTCAAGTTAAACATAATCAGAAAACTGTAACATAATATACTTTAGGCAAGTTAAATGTAAGAGTAACCTCATTTCACAAAGAGTGCACTGAGCTCACTTAAACTTTTACGATTGTCACGGTTCCACACAGTGAAGACAGCAGAAGCCTGCTCCAGCTGCTCAGCAAGGCTGAAGGTTTCTCCGCTGCTGGTCTGAGCAAGCAGATCACAGGACACCTCCATGTGGTGGTCGAACTCAGGGCAGAAAGTCTTTGCTGCTGTGCGGGTGCACCTCCTTTCACTCTCGGGCAAGAAAGACAGCTGGACTGTGATGAAAGTGTTCAAACCAACGCCGACAAAGTAGCTGAACTTCTCATCTTGTTCTGATAATATCCTGAAATAGCAGAGGCAGTATTTCTAAATACTAATTTGGGCATTATGGTTTCAATACACATAAAGAAGAAATGAGCGAATACTTTTATTTTGATCAGATGAAATTTGCCACCAATCTCAGAATGAACAAAAATAAAACAGCAGAGTCTCAACAACTGTAGATTTGGTGCACATCATCAGCTCTTAATCCTACATCCTAACCCAAATATTTTTATCAAAGCGAGCAGGTGTTCAGAAAATCTGTTCTAATTAATGAGCTTTATCATACATAGATGAAATAAAAAAGGCAAATTGTCCGGAGGTCAGTAATAGTGATGTACCTTGCGGCAGCCTTCAGACCACATGCTCTGTGCACTTGAACCACGAGTGTCACAACTCGAGAGGCAGCTCCTCTTCCAGTGTGTCCTTCAGGTCTCACAGGCCTGTGCTTGTATCGAATGCAAACATCTAACAGTCCTACAAAAACAAAAGCAATAACAGTCAGATACTGCCTGTATCTATATATTCCTATTAGCATGCGTGCATAATTATGTGTGTATACCTGAAGGCTGAGGTTGGTGTACTGTGGGACTCTCTGTCCTGGGAATCAGGGGCAGAGAGAACATCTGAGCCTCGTCAGGAGTTTGCCTCTGCATGGTAACCATGGCACACAGCTTGGACAGCGGAAGCATTCCTCTGGCCACGAGCTGATCTCTCACATTTGGATAGTAATATCTACAGAGAGACATTACATTGATCACAAAAAGAAAACAAGTTGAGCCAGTTGCAATCAAGACTGATTACTTTCACATAAATTCCGATTTAAGTTAGTGCATCTCAAAATTCTGTCTGGCATGCCCCCACTACACCTGGTTGTCTGTACACACAAATGCAGCTTGAGAATCACTTCACTAAAGACACTAAAGAGTAATGCTGCAGACCTGTATATCATTACCGTATGCACAACTGAGCATTTAGAAATAAAGTATCTTCCTTAACAGGATACAGTGTGATACTCACTGATTAAAAACATACAAAATGCACTAGATTTATATAATGAAACTAAATTTACAAAATCTGCCAAGGAAATAAAGTTTTCTGTGCTTCTTGTACCTAATGAAACTTTAAGTAAAGTTTAAAACCTATTTTTACAGAGTGCACGTCAGCTCAAACAGGAAACCAAAACATTACCATTCCTGGGGTAAAAATACTAGGCTTATAATCAGCATTTTAACTGTGGTAAAAATCATTTCATTATTTTATTAAAGTTTAAATGATACATGGATGACATAACAGCATCCACAAACCTGCACCACACTTCAAACTGGATGCCTCCACCGCTGCTGAGACCTTGACTTGAGAGAGAGCTGAGTAGCAGCCTCTGGACAGGAACTCCTTCAGGAGCCAGAAGCACATGAGTCTCTGTGTGACCAAACACCGGGTCAGGAACACAGAGCGTTGTGGTGGTACGAAATGGTTTCAGGTTCACAGCTGTTGGGATGTGATTAAGCTTTGAATGATTCAGAGGGAATAGAAACATGTTATGATGAAGATTTGAAATGATTAGGTGGCCTTACTGCTCTCTATGAGGTTTTGGTCCATGTCTGCAGCAGAGTTGCCCTCCTGACAGGGGAAGCTGTACTGGATGTAGCAGTCTGCCTCACCCCACACTGTGGACTGCAGAGGAGTCATCCCACTGACCCTCTCCACCCTTACCACAAAAACATGCTCTCTCATAGATTCTACATGTGCTGCAGTCACCTGAGGGAGCAGAGCAGTTAATGTTTGTTTGTGTTCATACCAACGCATTAGAGAAAGAAAGGGAACAAACAAGTTGTGTTGAAGTTTGGTGTTAACGTTTTCATGAATATTTATTCTACCAAGTCACATTCATGAGTTGTGAGGTTTTAAGAATCTAAATTAACAAAAAACAACAACAAAAAAAGCATTGCAGTGAGTTTCCATAAAAACTCAATAGTGACACATGTAAATTGTGTGCCAGCACATATTTAAAGTGGAATTTTCTCTATACTTTCTATTTAAAAAAAACCCCAAAAAACTGCCAGACTAATCTATTTGACAAGTATTATGCAGTCAATGGTAACACCAACCTTTGTTTGTGAATGTGGATGGTGATCAAGCAGATGAACTGGTCTCACAAGATGAGGCAACAAGTCATATTCTTCATCTCTCGTGCGCTGGAGGGAAACTATCTGCTCTGATTGGCCCATAGCCAAAACAACCCTGAGGTTTCCTTTACAGCTCCCTGAGAACACATCAATGACAGGCATGTAGCAGTCCACCCCTAAAACAGGGTACTGCGCCTGCAGGAGGAGGTGGGTGATCTTTGAATCCCTGAAGGGGACAGACATATTTTAATAAACATGTGTATATGTTCTATACTTTGTCATATATTTTAGGAATCCACTTAGTGACTAGAATGTAGGGTAACTGCCTTTTACAATACATTCTTGGTGTATGTAAACCTGGGATACTAAAAGTTTTCACTGCTCTTCCCTCTCAGATATTATTATTGTGATTACAATTTATAGGACTGTCAGCTAAACAACAATTACAATTGTTAATCAGTGGATAACGTTCTCAAAGCGTTGGTACATGAACAGTCAAAAAAACTAAACATCAAAATATAATTTCCAGGCACAAATGGTGTAGCATTCACATTTAACTAATTCCTTCAGTCAAAACTCAGAGATACTTTTTGCAAACAAATAAATGGTCAACTGACCAGCTAGCAGCTGTAATTTTTCATAATTATCCTATATTATTGTTTTCCTATCTTACCTGAATGACATGTAGAACTGATGAAGAGGTAATTTAACTAGGCCAAGGAGTCGATCCTGCCCTGAGCTTCTAGTCTTCTGCCACACTTCTATGACCATCATATTATTCTTCATCCTCTCCAGCAGCTTAGCTGTTAAGGCCACAGGTGTCACCTAAAACAGAGAAATGTAAAGAGTGTATTTAGATCAAGCTGCAGTCACTGAGAAATCATCAATGATCCCGACAACTAAAAATGCCAGACTAAAAAAAAGGATTAAAGCCTGGAACATAAAACAGTTTTAAAGATAATAATAATAGTAATAATAATAGTATATTATTATTATTATTATTATTATTCTTATTACTACATTTGCGTCTGTTTGCTGCATCCATGTAGTTTTAATTGATGCAACAAACAGCTTCCAAATCTGGTAACTTCTGGAATAAACAAATAAACAAAACGCCTGTCAGGTAAAACAGACTAATGTATGCTTTGATTTTTATGTCAGATGCCTTTACTGAAGGAACCCCAAGAGGATTTGTTTCTCCTCCTGGTCTCCAACCAGGGATTTTTCCCATGATAGACAAACAGGTAAACCACTACTCTGTGAAGCCACAGAATAATTTCTAATGCTAGTTTATGCTAATTTATTCTTATGTTAATTTTACTACTAGTTTCTTGTAGAATAGCACAGTATTAGGTACATAAATAAAATATTAAAAATGTGTAACAATATGTAAAGCTTTTAAAACAACACTCAAAAATAAAAAACTCATAATGCTCCCATATACTCCTTTATTACAAAAAACTGCTTTGTGCAAACTCTTTGTAGATCCAGAAAAAAGACTTAAGAGAAAAAGTAAGTTTTATGCCTTTTGTTTTGTGGATTCAGTTTGCAAAAACATTATAGTAATTTGCCTTCATAAATAAGATCATTCCAATGACTCAATGACGTACAAAGCCAGGCAGCAAACTTTAAATATGGTGAGAATAATGGACCTGCAGCACTTACCTGAACAAAGTTAAACGTAGGGTTTGCCTGACCCCAGCTGACCACAGATCTTGCTGGCTCATCACACCAAAACAGTTTACAGTTCAAATAAACATTCGGAGCCTGCAGAGGCCCACAGTTGAAGTTCTTCCCATCTGGTACCATGAGTAAGGCATGCAGCAGGACCTCAGGTTCCTCTTCCACCTGCTGCCACGATTTAGGGGGAGATGTTTGATAGCCGGAAATAGGAGCAGGTTCCCTGGAGGGTCTCTGAGGTGTCCAAACATTCAGCCCGGCTTCTTCAAAAGAACTAGCCGGTAACTCCTCTCTGCCATTGGTAACATGCTGGGTTCTGAGGCTCGCCTGTCTCTCTGGACTTTGTGATGGTGACATGTCTCTCCAAGTCACCTTGATTTTACTTTTTTCAGAGGAGAAACCTTTACTGTGTGCTCCAAGTTCTAGTGAAACCTGCAAAACATATCAACATTACTTCTGTGACAGTTACTTCCAAACATTACTTCCTGAGTAAAAGAAGCAAGCCAATAAAAATATATTGCCTTGAGAGGTCCAAACTCCCATGTTTCACTGTTGCCTTCTCTCTGAACAGGCAACACGACAGACTGACTCAGCTGCTCGCTCTGCAGCAGACTGCGCAATGGATGAATTGCCTTACCAATGGCAACAGGCTGCAACACAGGATATAGTGATTTAATACATAGTACACCCGAGCATTTAAAAGAAAACAGCAATGATTTTTTTTATATTTAATGGAATCACAGCCATGTGTTTGTAGAACATGTTAGAAATACAATAACAGACTCTTCAATATTTTAATCACACTTGTGTTATTGTCTGAAAATGTGTATGTCAAAAATATTTTAACTTCAAAACAACCAGTTAATTAAAAATAATCATAATGTAAAGCCTTTGTCAAGAAAAACAGTAGCTCACATATCATGAAATAATTGACAAATTTTAACAAAATCAAATTACTAATAGTCAGCCTGAAGATACTTACTTTCCTTTGGTCACTCTTTCGTGAGTAAATCTTGAAAATCAGATCAGTTCTCCACCACTGTTCAACTGTGGCTGTACTGAAGTTGACAGGAAACACAGAGAGATGATGGAAGTTCACCACTAAAAAACATAGTGTTTGTCAGTCACAAACCTGAAGCAGCACAATCAGTACTTTTCACTTGGGATGATTTCATTAAAGCAGATTCTCAATGGTCATACCTCTTCCTGTGACTTTACTGGAAACAACTCTGGTCACTTCCCCATCTCGGCTCGCCTTACTGCGATCATGTCGATTTGAAGTCACTGGGAACGAATACTCAACAAAATATGTACTAAAAGAAGAAAATGACATATGGTTTTGTCCCTAAAAGTTCGTATTTTTTATAACAAAGTCGGTGATTTGCATCATCATCATCATTATTATTATTATTATTATTATTATTATTATTATTATTATTATTATTATTAGCATTATGATCAACAAGATTTTAAATGTTTTCCTAACCATTTCCTGGCAATTAATGGCCGAAGTGGTTTTCCTTTATTTGAGGTTTTTCTGGGTGTTGTGGGTGAGCTGCCAGCTGGTACAGTCAGAGACTCAATCGTCACTCTTGCCAGCCGCACCGAACTCAGCAAAGTCAGCTGCTCTGCACTCAGGAGAAAATGGATATTCCCACCATCTCCTGACCGCTGATTCTCTGAATTGTGGCTGGACACAGAAAAACACAGTTCCCAACCATTTCATGCATCTAAGAACAACCTGAGCCTCTGAAAGAAGTTCTAGCTCTGGCTTAAAAAGAATACGTAAAGGCCCTCACCCTTCACTAATCTTGGGTGCAGACTCAGTCAGCTTTTTTGGCTGATCTTTACTTGAGGACACAATCCCTTGGCACTCCTCCTCATTGTCAGCTAATGTGGTACCTGTAATCTGAAAGAATGACTAAACTCAGTTATACTAGAAAATCAGTTTACCAAGAAAAAAAAACATATAAAAGTCATCTACTTACAGGAGTTTTGTAGAACAAATTTTCCAGCAAGCTCTGATCATACTGTGGATCATTGAGCTCACTATCGCTACAGACACTGCTATGACCAGAAAGAGAATCAAGGCAGGGGCCTTGTCCATCCCAGAGAGGAAAAGCAGAAGTAGAGCTTTAAAGAAAAGAGAAAAAAAAGGGAAAATTTTAAGTAAAAATACAACATCGTACATCTGCATCTGGATATAAATTCAAACATGGATACCTGCCAAGTACCAGATCCACAGCTCTGTTGTCTATGTCAGCAGGTCCGTCCAAGCCACTGTCTGAGATTACAGTAACATCGTCAGAGTGCTTCAGAGTTAAATCAGTGTGAAGGATATTTTCAAGAAACATCCCAGAAGGAGAAGACAAGGGCCTGCAAGGAAAAGAAGAAAGTCTTACAGAAAGTGAATTGGTAAGAGAGAGGAAGCACTATTTTTTTTTCCAACACTAACTTTGGCAGAGGCTGGATGTTTTCCTTTGGTAGAGGCAGTGGAGTATCTTTCAGAGCCGCAGCACTATCGGTGTCAGATTTCAAAGCTGATATCACCATTGCATTTCTGAGTTTGTTTCCACGGTCGAGAATAACTGAGATGAAAGGAATAAAATTTCAAAATATAGATATGCGTTTCTGCAAACTGATAATGCATGGATGCTTAAACAAACCTGAAATTATATCATTAGTTGGTTGATTTAAAGGATTCACAGCTGTTTGACTGTTCTGAGATCTGTTTGTTGTTGGCATCTGATTTTCAAGCGTCTCTTCTTTGTCCCTCTGTGCATTTTGGAAATATAAGTGGTCCTTCCCTCTGAAAATATTATAGCAATGAATAAAGTAAGATCACTGTCCTCAGATTTAAAAATGGCACTGCATATGCCAAGATATGAGATGCTGTGCAGGTGTTTGAATTCAGCTCTAAACCTTGGTGTGTTTCCACCACTGCTCTCGGCTGATTCTTTCCTGTTGTCGGCTGAAAGCAACCTGTGCTGTGAGGGCACGGTCATTGGGGTGACTTGTCGTCGCTCGGTGCTGAGATCTGTGTGGGGACCGGAGCCGCTGCTGTCATAAGCTTCTGTCAGTGGCTCCAAACTAAGAGCTACCTGATGAGGGGTGTAAGAAAACGCTTAGATGTGGACTGTCCTCAATGTCACAAACTGAGTGAGCAAAGCCCAATTTCAATACAGCCAATAATACTCAGATCCAAATAAGCACTTGGCAAGTAAATATGATTTTAAGTCTACACTCACCTGTAGCTCTCCCAGCTTTTCAGACGTTGGAGATACAAGAGTGTAAAATCCACTGATTGACTGTGATAGTGACAGGCGGGAGATGCCAGCGACCTGAGCTCGTGCAACTGGCAGATGATCTGGTTTAGTTAGGACTTCCAGCACCAAAGAGCCCATATCTGTTGATGAACAGCATAATGCAGATTAAAAGGAAATTGAAGCAGCATAGCAAACTCAAGAGCATCAACCTCTCCTAACTACCTGTAAGGTAAGAGGTGAACTGTTTCGGGCCACAGCGGATGGGGAAGCGAGCTGTGGTCTTGATAGTTTTCTGTGCCAGCTGTGATCCATCTCTGGGAAAGAAATGTGTACCGTCGGACGACTCTCCCCACCAGCGCAGCCTGATGAACGTTGCAGATGGTGGCTTGTGAACTGTCCATAAAACTCGGCCTATGGTCACCTTCAGGAAGCATCTGAGCTGGCCCTCGACCAGAGGTGGGAGACTAGTGGATGGGGACACATCACTGGGGACTGCAAGAGTTAAAGTGGAAACACAAAGAAAGTAATAAAAAGAATGGGATGTTCAGTTTTCCTATTTTTTCTTTTATTGCCTTTAAATTGAAAAAATTTGGACAAATATAACAGATTTCAGTTAGGTCGTATGTTACAACATAGATCCGCAGAGATTTAAATCAGACCTAAATAAATCTACAGCAAAAAACACCAATGCTTATACGTTCAATGGATATTTTATAAGTTCTTTTATATCGCCCATTGCTCTATTATATTGAGATCTAATGACTGTGAAGGCTAGTTGCGTACAATGAACTCTTTGCCATGTTCAAGAAACCAACATTAGACAATTTGAGCTTTGTGACATTGTACCCATCAAAAAATGGATACAATGTGTTCAGTAAAGGGATGGACATGGCCAGAAACATTACAAAGGAAGGATGTGTTTTGTTTTTTTAAACAGTTCTCAGTAAATACATACTAAGGGGTTCAAAGTGTGCCAAGACAATATCCCCACAGCCTTACACCACCAGCAGCAGCCTAAACAGGCGTACCTAACATAGTGACCGGTGAGCGTTCTCAAGGTCTGATTACTCATTTAATCTTACAACAACTTATCATGTATTAGCAAGTATTTTGGTATCTCTTATGAAATCAATACGGTCTTGTTTATGCATAAACACCACAAAAACGAAAAAGGAAGAAAACAGAAACCGATTGAAGGCGCCCGTTTTAAAGAGAGATTGTATACTTTGCCTTTTGACAAAACCAAAAAACAAAGGTTGCATAAAGTTGACTGCTAGAGCTACACGTAAACAAACAAAAGAGATTTGTGAAGACCGGCGAAACAAACCGAAAGACAGTGCATACAAAACAGACAGTACATAGAGAAATGTAACTAATAAGTAAGTAAACATTTGAAGCTAATCTGAGGCTGACAGCTGTCGGTAACATTACAGTAGCTAACGGCTAGCTAAACTGAGTTTACCTTTCTTTTTGCTGCCTGCAGTTCTGGCGGACCTCTGCTTTCTGCTCTTCATGCCTCAGCTCAGTAAGTATGGACTGTAACTAACAGCCAGGCCAAAGCACAGTCAGAGACGTTAGCAGGCATGTTATCGTTCTCCAGCTAACTAATAATCCGTTAAACGCAGCTGAGTGAGCGGCACACACACACCCACAGACACTCATAATACAAACAGCAGCGCGGAAAACTGTTCCCGAGCAACGAACTACCCCGCTTCCGCTGCCGCTGCTTTTCACAGAGGCATTCTGGGAAAGTGAGTTAATTTTTGCTGCGATGTTTTTTTTTTTGGAGAGCTGTTGAATAGATTCATTCATAATAAAAATGTGGAAAACTACGACTACACAATTACTGAGCAGCATGATAACCGCCATTAAGGCGGATTTATAACACTTATATTTATGGCATTTACATTGTGTTGTACTAATACAGTAACTAACAGTGTACAATGTCTATCTTAATTATGAGGTTTTTAAACCATAATGTTTAAATAATTGCTGGAATGGAAGCAGGAATACAGAGATTAATTGGGGTGGGCGGGGGGCAAATCAATATTCTGTTTTAAGACTTTTCTCTGCCATTTGCTTTTTAGCCACAGTGGACACTTTTACTTTTTGCAGCTCAACCATTACATTGAATTGAAGCGATTCTAAAATTTGTGAAATATGTATCACAATTTATGTGACACACACATATGAAAGCTTTATTTGTAATCATTTTATTCAGAAGTGTATTTTATTGGCACAAAAGTGTTTTTTCTTGTACCCAGTGTCCAACAGTCCTTTAAAACAACCATAAGTGCAGCTTCAACAATGCATCCAAAACTGTTCAACTGTGTAACAGCAAATAGACAATAGATTAAAAAAAACAAAAAACAACCAAACAATATATATTACTGTGAAACATTACAAGAGCACCTCCGAGCTGTCTACCAGTAGAGGGAA